ACTTCTCTGACGGGAAGCAGTGATGGTGCCTGGAGGTGAACAGGGCCCAGAAGACAGTGTGGAAATCAGCAGTCCCCCCCGCCCCTCCCACCTTGTTCCAGAAGGAAGCTGACAATGGCGGCCAGTTCCTCTGACCCCAGCAACCTCGGGAATTCAAGTAGGCAGGCTGCAGCCCACGTGCACGGGTGGGAAGGGAGCGGCCCTGTCCTGAGAGTAACCAGCGAGAGACAGGGCTGGAGGCGCCGTGCAGCCGCAGAGGCCGGGCCGGGACAAGCACAAGGCTCTGGATTCAGTACAGAAAGCGAGCGAGGCCAACTGGGGGACCGCGTCTACCCCCCATGCCATCCGCGCACACCCCAAGCTGGTCTCAGCCCACCGAGCACCTGGGATGCGGCAATGCAAGCATTCATTTTTCACGACTGCGTAGTGTTTCCCCTCCGGTCAACTCGAGGCTGGAAAGTTATCTTGGACAGCAAGTGGCCGCCCGCCTGCCTCATCCATCACCGTCCGCCCCAGGCTCCCATAGAGGTGGACAGCGCCAGCTTTGGCTGCTGGCTGCGGCCACCGGCTCAGATACAGAGGTAGGAGACCGGGGCCTGAACTCTGTAACTTGCAAACGCCGCACAAGGTCCTCATGGGCCACCGGCCACTCTGAGATGGCACCAGCCCCAGAGGAAACAGGAACAGAGAGGTTAGGTGACCAGCCTGGCATTGCAGAGCACTGTCTGAGCCAAGGTATTTGCTCATGCTAATTAACACAGCACAGAACACATCTACAAATAAATTTCTTTGGCCACATCAATTTCAGCATGTTCGAAATGGAGCTTTGGAGCCAGGCGCCTGAAGCTCACGCCTGTAATCCTGGCTTTTCAGGGGGCTGAGTTCTGAGGATCACAGCTCGAAGCCAGCCTGGGGAGGAAAGTCCACAGGACTTACTTCCAGTCAGCGTGTGGAAGGAGGCAGGGGGTCTGCAGCGGGGCGCACGCTGTGCGTGATGCCCACGGGCCTCTCTCCAAGCCAGCGTGGGCCCTCACGTGGACACCTGGGCAGCAAGGACTCGAACCCAGGCTCCCGGAGCCCTGACCTGGGCGCTCCAGAGTCCAGGAGCTCTGAGGAAGGCTCACGCAGAGCCGAGCGGGGGAGGGGACCCCAGGAGCGTGCAGCGGGGCAGGAGGGGCTCAATCTGTCCTCAGAGCTCGGAAGCTGGCAGCCATGTTCTCTGGCACCGAGCGCTCACACTTACCATGCGTTTAGTCTCTCACCCTTCAGAGTCTGGACTCTGATGATGACCCTGTATGAAGACTGGGGTGTGACCAGTGTGATCAGAGCCACAGAGCCAGAGCAGGGGACCAGGCCTTGCCCTGGGGGGGGAGGGAGCAGAGGCTGCAGAGTACCAGAGCAGGGCCTGGCGCTCATGGGAGGGGGTTAGGCCAGGAGCAGAGGCTGCCCCCCGCCCCCCGCGCCCTGCAGGGAGAAAGCCACGGTGCCTAGCCTAAGGAGGCCTTAAATGAGATTCTCCACGCGT